CTTGTACAGCAATTAACCACTAAGAAGAATATATGCAGTGTATTATTTGTTGAAACTGTCCTTCCGATTTGATTTGAAACTGTCTCATTGCTATCAGTTTGTCAATAAAACTTTGAAAAAATAAAAAAAAAGAAAAAATAAAGAGGAACAAAGTGATTCATACAATACTATACATAGATGAATCTATAAAACAGAGTGAAAGATGTCTTGCACAAAAGCATACATTGCTGAAATGATTCCATTTATACAAAATTCCAAGGTGAAAAAATATTGGAAGACTGGCTGGGTCAGAGGTGGAGTGGTGTGAAAAGGATTCAACTGACATTAAATCTCCATAACAAGTAAATTCATAGAGAGATAACGGACTCATTTGCAGGGCTGTGAAAGGTAGGACGTTGAGTGTGAGACTGCCTGGTGATAACTAAGGAATATGGTGTTTCTTTATGTGGCAATGAAAATGTTCTCAACTTGATTTGGTAATGGTTATACAATGCTTTTAAACTATTAAAAACCACGGAATTTTATATGTCAATGTGTTTTGTAGTACATAAATTATCTCTTCACAAAGTCATTTTAAAAAGAAACAAGGAAATTAAAATAATGTACTAGGTAATATGTATTTTGTGCAAAAGAAGGAAGCAATGGAACAAAGAAACAAGACATAGAAAACAATAGTAAAATAGCAAATACTGAGACCTACTGTATCATTAATTACATTAAGTGTAATACACTAAACACTTCAATTAAAAGATAGGCAGAATGGATTTTTAAAAAACATAATATTGAACTATATACTATACATGAGACATATCATTGCAAGCAGCTGAGTTAGAGAAAATATTATAGGCAGTCACACAATGCTAGGCCCTCAAGGAGACAGTATGGAAGATAAGAAGATTTTGCAACTTTGGGAGAGACAACCCTCCTATTGTGGGCCAGACATCTAGAGAAAAGATCAAACAAACCCATACCTCCTAAGGATAGATATGAAAGACTGATATTGTAAATAGGTCTCTCACTTCCAATATTCCTGGAAGAGTCACATTTCCCTACAGGAAAAGCTCCTGTTCTGTATTCATGCCCCCTTGCTACATGACTTGCTTCCCCATTTGGTCCTGGACTTAATCAATTTTATCTGAGCAATTTTGCTTGTAGTCTTATTGGTTGACTACAGTTTTGTCTCACTTCATGCCCACCTAGTGAGTTCCCGTGTTTTCCACCTTAGACCCACCTTATCGTATGGTTTTGTTCTATAAACATCCCTACAGAAGGCAGTTTCCCAGGCAACCTGCTCAGGTCCCCCGTCTGTTCTTCTCTCGGACAGGAACTTCTTTCCCTCAATAAATATATTCTGCTCTTAACCTCTGCTGTCCCTAAAATTCATCCTTCATTTTTAGAGAATGAAAACTTGGCCCAGGTATCTATTAGGTTGGAAATTTCATTCCCTTATATCAATACTTTATAGATTCAAAGAGACTGAAGGTGAAAGAACTGAGAAAGATACATCTTGCTAACAGGAAACAAAAGAAAGCCTGACTGGCTACACTTACAAAATAGATTTGAAAACTAAAATTGTTAAGGATAAAGACATTTTATAATGCATCCACAAGGAATAACTGTTAAAAATGTATAAAAAGGAGGAAGGCATCTACATGTCTATTCAAAGAAAAAAACAGCACGATGGTAAGACGTGGGAGTTGTCTAGCTACATAAATAGCAAATTGTTGCATGATATATAAAATTTGAGATGATTTTTGATTTGCAATAAAATTCACTTAAGTATAAATTAATGCATTTAACAAGATCAAAGCATAAATTTTAGAATGCAGTAAGAAACATGTCTTTTCCCCCAGTCACAAAAAGTCTAGGATAAACATATAATGCTTAATGTAATCTAATACAGAATCGAAATCAATATGGTCTGTTTTAGGGGAGAAAACCACTTCTTTTCTTATTTTATGGAAAAAAGGTAAAACAAAATTTTGTAACAAAATAATAGGAGAAAAACAAATTAATACATTGCATATTGTTATCATTCAAGTAGTTGCTCAGGTTACAAGACATGAGCATAAAAATTTCTCCAAGCACTACTAGCACAAACCTTCATTTTTAATACATTAAGAGACACTAATAGTACAAGTGACTTACATTTTTTCCCCTTTTTCTTTTTGTCCTTTCCCCTTTCATCCATACTAGTTTCTTGAGAAAACCACTTTTTAATTGTTTACTGGGCAACACACACACATACACATACACATGCGTGTGTGCACACATATATACAAGCATTTTCTTTTCTATTTTTTAAAATTTACTTTGGTGGTGGTACTTCAGTTTAAACTAAGAGTCTTTTATGATAAACTACATCCCTACTCCTTTATAAAAACTTTTAGGGGCCAGGAAGATGGCTCAGTGGAATAAGCGCTTCCCTGGCAAGCGCAAGGGCCTGAGTTCAAAAAAAAAACCTTTTATTTTGAGATAGAGTTTCTCTAGATCACTAAATTGCACAGTGAGTTTGAGCCTGTAATTCTCCCAGAGTGCTGGGATTACAGCAACCCAGCGCCAGTTTTCATTTCATTATAAAATTCAGCATAAGACAGATCCATTTTATACTTTTGCTAGATGTTTTGCTTCTTCTTAAAAAGTTATACATCTTTATGTGATACATTATGGCAACTCCATGTGTGTATACACTGTTGATTAGTCAAATCAGGATAACAAGCATTTCCATCTCTTCCTTCATTAATCACTTTTATAATTGGGAATTTGTACTCTTTTGAAGTTGCTGGAAATATTTCTTGTACCATCTCATCCATAGTTACTCTATTGTGCTAAATAGAAGAACCAGGAATAATTTCTTTATTTTGTGTCTAGTACCCCTACTGAAATCCATCTGCTACCATCTTATCCTTCCCGGTATCTACTGACCAACACCCCTTTCCATGCTTTTTTAAGGCTGGCTTATCAATTTCCACAAGTGAGTGAGAATATGTGACACTACCTGTGTCTCGCTTGGTTCACTTAGTACAATGATCTTCAGTTCCACTCAGGTTGCTGCAAATGACAGACTCATTATTTTAAATTTTCCTAAGTTTGATATATCAATAGCCTCACTCCCATATTGCAGGCTTATGCCTGCACTTGGAACAGTATCTCATTTTGGATTTCTTGGTGCTACTCACAAAGAACACAACCAATGATTGCACAGTACTGTATCACTGTATTAAATTTCAACTGTAAGGTCCAATATTTGTTCCACCACAGAGGATATCACATACTTTCTACTGTTGCCATATACTACAATAATCATCCAAGTACTACTAAGTACTTGGGTCCTAAGTATTGGAGTCCTAAGAAATTAAGTTTTGTCTCAATTTATCACCCAGTTGTAACTGTACTGATTTCAGTTAACTTTGTCACTATCTCAACCACTGATACATTTTTTTCCTTTGTTTTGTATCAGACTATCTTATAGAACTAAACTCCATATTAAATCAATCTGTTTCCCTCCTGTCTCAAGTTGTTGTGCCAAGGTCTGTTTCTACTCTGTTCGTGTAACTCCTCTTATTTCCTAAAAAAAATGCCCTTTATTTTTCCATAATAATCCTCTTCTAGCTATGGACTCCTTTTCTCACATCACTGTAGATGTCATCTTATGTCGTTTTCATTTAGGGATTCACTTTAAGACATGAAACCTGTTTAATGCATCAAAAATTAGATATTCAAATAAGTAATATTTTCTCTCAAAGGAGTTATATCAGAGGGTGTTCATTTATTCTAAACATTTTATGAGTGACCAAAGCATGTGGAGAATTCTTTGAAATTTGACAGTTCATATATTTGACCCTACCTACCAAGACCAATGTTATTACTTTGTAGAACTGACCAAAGGACACTGCCTGGCTAAAATATCTGACAGTCAAATAGAATTTGCTGTTACCAAAAGCTAAACTTACCTATAAAAGATGAAACATTGCACTAACTGATAATATTAAAAATATTTTAAAGCCAGGTGTGGTGGTGCACACCTGCAATCTCAGGACTGGTAAGACTGAGACAGGAGGATTGCCACAAGTTTGAGGCCAGCCTCAGTTACATAGTGAACTCAAGGGCAGTCTCAAAACATAAATTTAAAGAAAAAAGAAATGAAAAAAAACTCTGAAGGCAATTACAAAAGCTTAAAAAACAAATACTAAGAAAACGCTTCGTAACTATAATCAATGAATGACAAGCTTTGTGCAACCTAATATAACCATCAAACCTCATAGATCTATGAAATGAAAATAACTTTTTCATAGGGTTATTGTGGGGCGAAGATATTTCTACTCATGCCTGACTGCTGCCGAGTAAGATGGACAAAAAACACCATTAAGGTGCACTATTTTAAAATAGGACTCTGACAAAGATTAACTTGGTGTTTTATAGGAGATGAAAGATAAAAAAGTTCCATATAAAAAATTATGCACACAACAAATTTCTGATTTTCAAGAAACTATTCACGTTTTGGAAAGTGAAACCTAACTCACTCTCATTGAAAAAAAACAGCAGAGGGAAATTCCATAACTTGGAAGCCACAATAAATACAAATAGTGCATTTGATTTTGCAACATGGGAATTCCCCAAAGAATAGCCAGTAGGTTTTGCTGAGTTGAGTCAGCAGTCATGTTATCCAATTAGAGCTAGGGAGGGAAAGTACTTTTACATATAAATGCTGGTACTAGTCCCATGTTTTCTAAGACATTCCTCAATTGCTGAGACACACGTGAGTCTACTATAGAGGAACCTCCAATCTCAGCATCATGAACCCCAACACCGTTCTTATTTTCTGCCTCATCTTCCTGACTCTGAGTGGGACTCAAGGTAAGGAGTGTCAAGGGATATTTAACTTAGAAAATGAGAAATAAGGACTGGATATAAGTTTAATTATGACCAGGGATTCCTTTGGCTACTACAAATGAAGTCAGAAAAACAAGTAGCATGAAAGAAAGGGAGAAAGGTGAGGGAAGAAAGAGAGAGAGAGAGAGAGAGAGAGAGAGAGAGAGAGAGAGAGAGAAACAGAAAAATATGAAGGAATAAATAAAAGAGGCAGATAATTTCTTAACTAAGTAAGCTTGACTGGTCACAAGTTTCAATTCCCTTTTTGCACATAATCAACTATTTAATCATTCAGACTTGTGTTATAATGTATATATTTGCCCTTAGATTGAATATTTGACAATATGGGGTTATAGGTGCTACCAAATACTATACCTAAAATGAGACACTATCTTAACCTTCCTTGTTTCTTTTTCCTATAGGAATACCTCTTTCCAGAACAATACGCTGCACCTGCATCGAGATTAGTACTCAACCTGTTAATCTAAGGTCCTTTCAGAAACTTGAAATTATTCCTGCAAGTCAATCTTGTCCACATGTTGAGATCATGTGAGTAAAATGTCATCTAATAATCACTTCCCATGGTTATAATGATATATTAAATATGTGATAATAATCATTAAAGATCAGTTGAAGTGTTTGTGATGACATTAAAACTAATGTGTAGCAAAATAAAATATATAAAGTAAAGCTTAAAATTCTGACTTTAGAACTATGTATTCTACTGGTTTTGTTGGTGCAACCCTGTTTTAAATTTTTTTACTTCAATTTACTTCCACAGTGCCACATTGAAAAAGAATGGGGAGAAGACATGCCTGAATCCAAAATCTAAGGTCATCGCAAACTTACTGAAAGCAGCCAGAAAAGACAGGTAAGTTTGCTGCTGTTTGCAGAGGAGCTTTTCAGAAAATGACAATCTCAGAAAGTTAGAAATATTGCATGGGCTTTGCTGTAAGATTGTTGGCTTAAAAGTTGCCACCATGCCTATATATATATATATATATATATATATATATATATATATTGAGATGTCATTTTGCATAGTATCTAAAGTTACCCTGATTACCTGTCCAGAAGTCAGCCATATGATATGATCATATTATGATTGCATACTAATATTATATCTCTTCAACCCTGATGTAAGCTATGACTATCCAAGGAAAACTGTCAACTTTCTCCCAAGCCCTTTATGTCCTAAAAAGAAGGAGCCCTATAATCTACAGTGACTTCTTGCTAGCAGCAAGAAGCTCATCAAATCCTTTACCTGAAGTTCTTTGGGATATGAACTCAGAATGTTAAGCAGCTAGAGTCTCAAGCTTCTTTATGCCTCTTCTCATCTTACAGGTCTAAAAGATCTTCTTAAAACCAGACAGAAGCAAAACCACTGCAATGCTGATAAGGATGAACCACAGAGAGGCTGCCTCTCTCTACCTCCGACAGAGTACAACCCTGACAGTGATAGTTCCTGATTTGTCGTTCTTCTGAAAGTTGACCAACCAGTTGCCAAATCAGCTGCTAGTACTCCTGTGAGAATGTGGATGGATCATCATCCTAAGCTAATAATAGCTCTAGTAATGGTGTTACTAGTTCTATTACTTGTAATAGCTCTAATAACAAGTGTTAACTCTGCCCTGGCACTAAGCTATGCCAAGATGCTGCTATATGCATTCTTAGCAAATGTGCCAAATCCTAGCACTGCTGCTGACTCTTTCTCTAACCTTTCCTATTTTCTAAGGGTTCTGAAGGAATTTTTTACTTCGCAATTTATCATACTTCTTTGACTCTTAAGTAACTAAAAGGTATATAATAATTGAACATCTGTTCTTTTACAAATAATCTGTATTCTACTGCCATCCTCTCTTTAAGAACAATCTTCATTAGCTTCTACTGCCACCCTCCCAAGCACCCATCTTTTTCAGTAGTTACATACGTTGAATTCCAAATACCTACAGGAAGCTAAATATGTCTGAAATGTTTTTTAAATACTATTTAATGAAAAAGTGTATGTAATAGAGTTTTTATTGTTACTTATATTGTTTTTAGTGCATATAGAACAAGTTGTATAATTAAGAATGATGTGTAATTGGAGAAAATTTTAAATCTAGATGTATGTTTTGCATGTACTGGTTTTCAAAATAAAAATGATGTATTGTGCTGGAAATATTAGAAATAATTGCAAACTATTGAGAAATAAAATGATAATAAAATAATTATAACTATGATAAAGTGTTATGTGAGTCACTTGACATCTTATTTCATAAGAAGCTTAGATTGGACAATCCTTGGCCTATAGAAATTGACGTAGGTACTAATAGTGACAGGAGTTTCAGTTTAGTTCCCTGAAAGGCCTACCACATAAGATTTCTATGTAACTGATGTAGCATAAGATAACTTCGTCTGAGCTGCAAACTCCTGCAGGCAAATTTTTGTTATGTACCTCCACCTCAATATTCTATGGCAGTGATGGTGAAGCTTTCAGAGCTTACAAAGATGAGAACGAGCCCACTGAAGCACACATGCCATATGTTTGCCATCACTATTCTACAGGAACTTCAAACTCTAAAGTATATGAAAGCAATTCCCTTCTCTCCTACACTTGTTTCTTCTCGCTATTCTATATCCTAATTTAATTCAGCCAGCATACAATCTGTTCCCCAAACCAGAAACCTACAAGTAATTCTTTACTACCTCTCTCAACTCATTTAGTTGACAAATTACTAGTATCTAAAATATATAAAGAAAAAAAAAGAAAGCTAAAAAAATAATAAAAAAATATATAAAGAATTGTCATGGCAAAACAAAGCAAAAACAAAAAATGACAACTAGTTGAAAAACATAAAACAGGACTTAGGAGATAGCTTGGTGGTCTAAGTGCCTGTCTAGCAAGTGCAGGGTCCTGAGTTTGATCTCTGGTACTGCATGCTATGTTGGCCTCAGAACCATAGGTGCACCATGCCAGCCCAAAACTGGGTGTGGTGGCACATACCTGTAATCCCAGCCCTGGGAAGGCTAAGCCAGGAGGATCACTATGAGTCTGAGCTGTGTATTGAGACCCTGCACCGAATTAAAGCAACAACAACAACAACAACAAAAACACAGAACAGAAATGTGTAAAAAGTTTACAGAAGAAAGGCACACACTTCTAACATGAAAAGATGAACAACTTCATTTGTAATAAAGGAAATACATATTCATATCATTAAAGGATACCATTTAACACTAGCACACTGGCAACAGATTTTGACTTGGGTAATACCAACCATCAGCTATGGTACAGAGCAATGAGGATGTCCTTTTTGCTGGTGAAAGAAAAATAGTTATAGCTATTTTCAAAAATGGTTTGACATTACCTTAGAAACACACACATACCTTATGTCCCAGTAATTCTACTGCTATGTATATACCATAGATAAATTCCTTTCTATGTGGCATATGACATGCATAAGAACACATTGGTGGCATTTTTTCAACACTGTTTATAGTTAACAAAAATCTGAAGGAATCCAAATGTCTATAAGAGAATAATTAGGGCATATTCAATGAAATATACAACAGTGAAAATACATGAAGTAAGACTATACATATCAGGATAGATGAACCTCAAAATCAATCTGGCACAAAAGCAGCACTTCACAGGAGAGCGCATGCAGCGTAGTCCCATTTCTGTAAAATTTTAGGCAAATTGAACATTTTACTTAGAAGTAAAGATATAGAGAAATAAAACAAAACAACAACAAAAAGAAATCCAAATAATACTGGTACTGAGAATAAACAGACTAGCAATGTGATATTTTAAAAATATATAAACTAGGGCAGGCCAAATAGCTCAGCAGATTAAAGTGCCTCCAAGCAGATGAAGGGGCCAGGAGTTCAATCCTGGGCCTGCCATGCCGGCCCCAACCCCAGGGCGCGCTGAAACAGCATTTGAGATGGGGTGTGGCGGTGCAGGCCTGTAATTCCAGCACTTGGGAGGCTGTAATAGGAGGATCACTACAAGTCCCATCTATGCAGTGAGACCCTGTAGACCCTGCCCCACAAAATACACACACACACACACATATTAAATAGACACAAGGAAAAGATTATAAAAATATGATTTAATGGGTACTGTTCAATGACAAATGTTAGATGTACATATAGCCATATGTATGCACATATGCATAAATCTCTGCATGTCATTCCTTTGGTTAAAAATCTCTGGATGCCTCGTAATGTAGAAATTTACAAAGCCCTTCACCCTCTTGAATCCTCAGTTCCCACCATTCCTTCAATATCACTCAACTAAATACAGGACTATACTCTCTATTCTCTATAGTAACTAGAACTTTACTCTATATTCAAAGTACAGGTCTCTAAGCTTTGCAATCACTAGCACCCGTACTTTTGCCAAAGTATTTATGCTTTCTGTAACTGAGCATACATTCTCATGCCTTCTGTTCAGAATATATTTCAAAGTTTAATTGATTTCCCTTTCAGATCTTATTCAAACAGCTGTGTTAAAACTCACTGGCCAGAGTTGTGGACTTCTCTGCACTTCCACTTTGTATAATTTTTTAAAGTAATATTTTCTACTGCAGTAATTAATTTAGAGTTGTTTCCCTGCACTAAACTGTGAGCTGTTTGAGGGCATAATTTTTTTTTTTTTTTTTTTTTTTTTTTTGCGGAACCGGGGATTGAACTCAGGCCCTTGCACTTGCCAGGGAAGCGCTTATTCTACTGATCCATCTCCCCAGCCCATGAGGGTGTAAATTATTGATCATCTTTGTGTCTTTAGGGTCTAGAGTTGTAAGAAAAGTTTGATGAATGTATTGAAATGAATGGCAAATATGTTTCAAGAAAGTGGATTTAAACTGACTTGCCAAAAATCAGAACAAAAATGGTGTGCTACTGACAACTTTTACTAAGTTGTCCTGGAAATGAAGTCTTGACATTCTCACTCAAGATAATTTATTCACAAAAATAACTCAGTGCTCAAACTTTGTATTAGAAATATAAACCAAGAGGCCAGAGTAATGAAGGAAAAATATGTTCTTAGTGACCTAGATGCACATAGGATATGAAATCCCACAAAATTATGTCTTGCTTGAGTTAGTTTATCACGTGTATTATTTTGAATGGAAAGAACAAATTCCCAAATGAGGAGAAAAGACTAAGAATCCAAATCTAAATTAGGACTTCAGAGACTTTCAAGAAGTAAAACTTTTGAAGTTAGCATCCTCTAATAGCAATAGCTGTCAAGCAGAGGGGAAGTTCACACCATGAGAAATTAAAACAGGCCTGGAGGTTTCAATATGAAGAGAAACTTCCCCTCTTACAAGTTAAAGGAAGCCTGTTATCACTGTGACAGGATCTGTCACTGTGTATACCTAATTAAAGGGAGCACACTTATTCCATAACCAAAAGATGTTAGGGGGAGGTTGGACGGCACATGTGAAAACTGAAAATAGGTTCGTGGACTATTAGTTACATCAGTATTTAGTTCCTCAAAGACACAGAACTGGAATTTTTCCAAGGCTAAAGAGGTTAAAACTCTTTTCCACAGGGGAATTAATAACTGTCTGTTGATTTTAACCATCCTGACAAATCTTGGCTGCTTTCCCAGGACAGCCTTAGATGGCTGGGTTTCTGTTTCTCCTAAAAGCCCTGTATTGCCATAAATGCAACCTCAATGGGATTTTCTTCTTCCTCAGGACCTAGCAGAGGCGGGTTGTCTTTGCCATGGGAGCCGCAGCTCTCCACAGGCCTCCATTCCCAGGCCAGCCCAGGCCATGCACTCAGAGGCGAAGCCCACTATGGCTGCCCGCTTCCTGTGCAAAAGGGTTCCCGCTCCGACCCCCAGGGCCGCCCGCCTTCCTACCTCACCCGGGGCACCTGCCCTCTGTCCTCGCGGCCTTGTACCCCGCAGGCTTGTGCCGTCTCTCGATCCCCACCCTCCGTCCACGCTTGGTCAGGAGACTGCGGTATGGACAGTCGGGGACACACAAGAGGAGCTCCTGGGCCCAAATGGTACCTCTTCCTCCTGCGTGCGACGCGGTCTCTCACCTGACCGGGTCGGCGTGCGCAGCAGCACTCTCAGCTGTGATACGGCCAAGAGAGCGAGCGTTGGGCACTTGACGGTAAGCTCTGCACTAAGAAGGTTCTGGAACCTACTTGACTGCGCATGCACCTACGCATGTGCAGTGAGCATGCTGCCCTGGAAGCGGCCGCGTCTGTGCTGCGAGGCCCTGGAGGAGCTGGAGCAGAGTCCTGACTCGCTCGTAAGTGGTTTTTACTGATCGGTTCTGGTGCCAGCCTTCCAGTACCTTCCTCCAGAACTGGTGCTTTGCACGTGATACTCCAGGGTCTGCCTTCTCTGGTGGGGTGATACTAATCAGAACACTGAGGGTAAAAAAGTCACCACAGTTTTCCATCCAAAGATTTCTATAATATTCTATTTAAGCATTAATATTCCACATAGAAACCAGAGAATAAATGTTCATCACATCAGGTTTGGGTGCCTGCATATGTAATTCCAACTTTGGGGAGAGGGAGGCAAGAAGACAATTTATTGGCAGGTAAGAGTCATTTGGGTCCGCCCTCCTGAAGGTAGACAGAGCTAAGAGGTGCTAAGAAAGGGTTCTTACCCATAATGCCTTAGAGTAACCCTCACAAAGGACACTGCCAGAATCTTAACTGTCTTTTTTTTTTTTTTTTTTTTTTTGTCTTTTTGAGACAGAGTCTCACAATTCAGTTCAGGCTGGCCTTGAGTTCACTTTGTGTCCCAGGCTGGTTTCAATCTCACAAAAAGCCTCTTGCTTCAGCCTCCCAACTGTTTGGATTACAGGTGTGCACTGTAATACCAGGCTCATGTTTGTCTTAAGTCAATGTAAGTATAGTTTAACAGACCTGCCAGTAAAAATTCAGATCTTAAAATATTCACAAATAAAAGGCCCAGCCACAACCTAAGCAGAAAGGGCCCCTGGTTGCTATTATCCTACCACTCCTTCTTTAACTTAAGTCTACCCAACTGTGTTGTCAAATTTGTGTCTTCAAGATTCCAGAAAATTCATTTCCAACTCTTTCACCAAGCCACTCAAGGGTTTCATATTCAAATTTCATCCGAGGTCCACAGGCTCTGTTAGACTGACAGCCTTAAGTGTCCCTAACTTATGCAGCTCAGAGCAGTTATGAAAGTAACCACTTT